GCCCCGCCTCAGCATCAAATGGACCTGGTTTTGGACTGTCCCTCTCATCGCCAGCCGGCACCGATAAGCAGATAAGCCTCTAAGAGATGGTCGACATCTTTGGTCATTAGGGAAATTAAAATTGAAAACACGATTAGGTGTCTCTAATCAGAGTGACCGAAGTCAAAAACAGTGGCCACACCAAAGGCTGGCTAGGACGGTAAAGAAACCAGATTTTCGTATGTGGCCAGTGACAGTGAAAAATGGGACCACAAATTATGGGAAACACGGTCCGGTTTCTTAAAAACACAACATGCAGCTACCGTCGATCCCCGAATTGCACTTCTGGGGGTTTTCCCGGAGGAGTTGAAACTTCGCCTGTGGGAAACCATGCATGGGTGTTTGTCGTGGAGTCATTTGTAGCACCTTGATCCCTGAAGTAACCCAGACATCCTGGAGCACCTGAACGGTAAAGACACCGTGGTGAGTCCACCGTGGGCGTTACTCGGCAGTAAAGCAGGTCAGCTACTGCTCTGTTATCCTGAATGAGTGTCCTGGGAAACACGGGGAATGAGAAAGGGCCAGCTCCAGAAGTAACTGTCCATGTTTCCTCTTATAAAATGTTCTAGAAATGACCAACTTCTAGAAGCGGACCCCGGAATCGTTTTGTGGGAGTCAATGGCCGGGCATTTGGGTGTCAAAGAGGTGGGTGTGTCTATATGAGGGATGACTGTGGTGTAAGCCTGGTGTTCACCGTCACCACTTTGAGAGCCGGTGCCCTAGTCGCGCTGCCGCACTGAGGTCTGGCCACGTGGTACCGTTGGAAGTGACTGAGTCCAGGTACACGGGAGCTTTCGTATTTCCTGAAAACGTTTTGAAGATACAATTATCGGAAGTAAGACACTGAACTTCAGAAACAATTTAAGATCTAACGGATTGTTAATGACACTAATATTAAAATGGCTACAAGTAGGAACCCATGATTTCAGAACAAACAAAATTCATATGTTTTGCTTCATAGAGGCATGCTTTGAAATGAGAACATAAAAACTCTGAGAATAAAATACAGAACATGGTATACAACGTAAATACCAACCCCAAGCTCTTAAGCACACACTGTGGCAAAGCTAACGTGAACTCAAGGGCGTTGCTTGTGTGAAGAGCAGAACAGCACTGGATGGAGATGAAAGGGTGAGACAACCGGGAAGACACCAGCATCGAGGTGCACACACGCCCAATGATACAGTAGGAAGGGCCCCACTGAAAAATGGCCCCAGAGCTTAGGAAATGTAGGTAGGGGCACAGTCATTAACATACCTCTGCCAATGGCTGCCAGGTAGCTAGAGCAAGGACCCCAAATTTACCAGAGTCATA